GATGTTTAATAAAAATGATTTTAAAAATATTTTATGTCTCAAAAATAACTTTTTCTTTTAGCTTTTTTGATGCTTTTTCTGGTAATATATTCTAAGGTATTGATACTTAAGTATTATTTCTTCTATAAAAAATTATATGCTTAATGAATTGTATTTTTTATTCAAAATTTTAATTATTAATTAAATACATCATATATTTGGTTTTATTTAACTTAGATCACATAAATAATATATATATATATATATATATATATATATATATATATTATTAAAAACTCATATTTGAATTGTTGTACTTATTTATGCAAGAAAAAAAAGATGTTCCTATGCTATTTTACAACACTTTGTTTACAACTTTATGTACATATTAAATAAATTCTATTGAAATTTGGATAAAATTTGAAAGAAATCTAAAACTTCAGTGGTTTTATTAATTGTAATTATCATAGTCAACAATGACCCACTATATATTTTATGTGTCCTTTCATTAAGCCTTGTATTACAATCAACATATTAAAAAGAAAACAATTACCAATACATCATAATGAAATAATAATAATAATTAAGAATCTAACTGAGAAGAAGTCAAATTCAAGGAGGCGCCAATATAAAATTGAATTTTTTGTATATTTGTGTGTATATAATATTAATAAGCATACATAGAAGCTATGTAAGATTCTTTCAAGTGTATCAATATGCATTACAATATTTGATTAATGACACCCATCAAAGCTAAAGGTCAACTATTGAAAACAAGACAGTATGAATTAAAGAGAAATAGGTCTAAAAATCAATTTTAAAACTTCTTTGTAACATAAAAAATCAACAATTGATAGATTTATTTTGAGAGTTGTTATTTGTTGAATTACCATACAAAGCACTTGAGTTGTCTCAATTTGGACAATATTAGAATTGTAATAAATATCCTTTAGACAGATATTTGTTTTCAAATTTATAGCAAGATATAATCCATTTGGTATCACAATCTTCAGAAAGATTGTCAATACATAATAATACTATTGGAATTGGATATTACACTTGATGGCATATAAAATATGTTGTATAAAGGTAGTTATATAGGCCTCAACAACAATCAAATAACTTTATGATTTTTTTGCCTTGATGTAGAACATTACCAACAATTAAAGGAACTTATTAACCACCTTTATGCAAAACATTAATTACAACTTATTTAGAATACAGATCTTAGACTTTATTGACTTATAAATTAATTTGATTGCTTCTTGTGGAACTAATTTATTAAAAGAAGAGATAGTATAATGAATTTACTTATAAATTAAGTAAATATAATCAATTAAAAATAAGTATAAGTAGATAGAAACATACTAAAAAGATAATATTTATATTAAGAAGCTTCAATGATATTATTTGTGTGCATATTATATATATTTATTTTTGTAGATATATCAAATTGCTATTGAAAGTATAAGTAGTTTTATAAGAGTTGAAAAAAATGACTTATATATATATATATATATATATATATATTTTAGAAGTTGATTGTATGAACAAAGTAATAATTAGATAAAAGTTCTTAATAAATATTTGATAAAAATTTATAAATTCTAAATAATATTGGACATCTTGTATAATTCTTGGAGTTGTTTAATCCATAATAGACTATATTTTTTTTTAATAATCTATTGAAAAATCTTTACTTGAAATAATATATTTGAAAAAATTGACTTGAATTTGGTAAAATTTATGTTTTCTAACTTGGAATATAATTCTAAACCTTTAAGTTTTTGTAATACAAAGCATATATGTTATTCATGCTCCTCCATGCTCTTTAAATAAATAATTATTTTGTCTAAATAATATAAAAGATGATAATCCAAAAAAATAAAAAATAAAAAATTTATAAAGTATTAATAAGTAGATACTTATTAATATTAATCCTCAAATCAACCTCAAAGATTACTTATAAAATTATAAAACTAGTATTTTGGCAATATATTAACATTTATTTTTAGATAAAATTTGATATTATTTATATTACTATAAGATTACAATAACAAATAAAGATCAATATGATTATTGGCATTTAGACTAAACCTTAGAATGACCTTTTTAATTTCCAATTTATATTAAAAATATATAAATCAAAGAAGAAAAAGTATTATTAGATTTGAATGATAATGAATGATGTTGGAGAGAATATTGGATGCTAATTTTTTAATATTACTTTCAATGATTTGGTTTCTTCTATAAATCTCTACAAATAAGTAGTCATGTAATGATAATATCTACTAGATCTTATCATTTTTGCTACAATACAAAGTCTTTATCTGTGAAACATATTGAGGCTTCAATATCTAAAACAAAATAAATTTATTATTTATAACTTGAAATTTTAAAAATTATAAGAACTTTTTGAAAACATATAGGATTTTGTGGTAGAATAAAAGTTTTGTTTGATGGTTGTGATCTAAAATTGTCTAATTATAAGATTCATATTACAACTAGATGTTTTTAATTTTTGACTTTTTCATATTTAATTTTGTGCTCTTGCCTTGTATCCTATTAATTTCATATAATCTTGTCTCTTATAATTTCATATATTCTTGTATCTTATAACTTGATTTTCTACAATATAAATACAAATTTTCATAATGGAATTCATTTTTTTCTTTTTATATTAACTTTTTAAATTAAATTGTATTAAATTATATTAATTTAGATTTAATAAATAGATTAGTAATGACTTAGAAGTTATTATCATTACATATTTATTTATCTCCAACCAAATTTTTATTATTGGTGCATTTTAAAAGAAACAATTATTGCATACAATTATATGATTGCTAAGTTGTTCTAATTTATATTTTTAGTATTATCAATAATATATATTTAAAATTGTATTTACAGAAAATTAAAATTAATTTTTGAAAGCTTTATTTTTTAGTTTAAATAGAAAACAAGTTATTAGAATTTAATAAACAAATAAAAAAAATGGCAACTAAACATGGTTCTTTTTCTTCTTGTTGTTTTATACTTGTTTTGTGTTTGTTTTTTTTGTTTTTTTTTTTTAAATCTCTCTAAGTGCAACCATAAATAATTCTAAAATTAAGATAAGATTATAAAATATTCACAAATCCTTATTTAACAAAGATACAAACTAAATAGAGAGAATATTTTAAAATAGAGAGAGAAAGAAAGATACAATCAAGAAAGATACTTACAACTTGATCTTTGGTATACAAATCTTAGGGTTTTTATAAAGTTCTATAAGGCTTTTATGATGGCTAATATATATAAATGCAAGAGTGAGACCATTATTACACTTGTTAATGCATTTCTTGTATTCTAACTTTAATTTAAGAATCTCTAATTTTTTAATACTTGACTATAGTCATTCACATTTTTCATTATTTTATGGCAATTACTTCTATTTTGAGTTATTTTTTAGTGTTACATGTTATTTATGTTTTTTCTGGATTTAAATCGTTATAAATTCTATAAGATTAATATGCATAAAACAAAAGCTTCATATTTATTAATATTTTTTTTAAAACATCAAAGTATTTTGAAGGTTTCAGATTAACTTGTTCAAAAATTATTACAGTTTCAATAATTTTTAATTTTTAAATTCTTGTATAATTTTAATATCTTTAGTTTAGAAAATTTAATATGACTAAATATTTTTATAGTGTAGAAATAGAATATATATATATATATATATATATATATATATATATATATATATATATTTGAATTTTTTAATACATCAAATTTGTCTACTACTTGAATAAATATTAAAAGTGATAAATCATAAAGACATAAAGATAACAAAAATTTCTTTAACAATTGCATCACCTTAAGTAATTCATTAATTGCACCAACTAGAATTTCGAAATTTCTTCTTAAAAAGAAGTGGTTTGGTACTAGATTAAGTTTCATAGACATATCATTTAAGGACAATTTTTTATTCATCCTCAATCTCTTGATTATCTAATCCAAATATTCAAGGTTATATTTATTAAAACTATATTCAATGAAATTTTTTAGTCTTAGTTTTTATCATTTTCAATACAATAAGATTGTATATTAGACAAGTTAAATACACTTTTGGTAGAGTTTTAATCTATATATAAAAAAATGATATAACTTGTACATCAATCATTAAAGTAAAACAAAATTGACAAAGAAATCAATTTGTGTCAACATATGCACTATAATTTTAATAATAATTATTTAATATTATGTAGGATAAAGATGCATTTATCAATTAATTTTCCTACTTAACATCAATATGATGTAAAATAAATCATCCTTTAAATTCATTAATTTTCAAATATGCAATCAAACTCTTTATTTTGATATCAAATGTGACAACCAAATTTTAA